AGAGAGAGAGAGAAAGAGAGAGAGAGAGAGAGAGAGAGAGAACCAAAAACTCACTTGCATTCGATTTCTCCTTCCAAATTAAAGACTTGTGCAGAAAAACACTTCGAGAATTTAGACTTCCTCTTTATCGAATCGGAACTTATTTTCAATTCTAAGAGCACAGTAATCTGCCATGAGCACCGACTACACAAGGGCAAATCACCCCCCTCGCTACGCTTTTATCGCTCGCCAATTCCCGCGCAAGGTGGACGCCACGGCCCCTCGCTGCCTCTTCGATTTTTCAGATGGACGTGGTTGGTCACAAAAACGCCGAATATTTCAAACTACAGTAGAAATTATTGTCGAACCTGCTATAACTGCCACCTGTCCAAGACAATAACCTGTACAAAAGACCACTTCCTACTAACCCCCTCCCCCCTTGCGATTGTTTAACAATATTATTATGTATTTTATTATAATGATACTCTCCAACACGTGACCTGTCTAAGACATTCTCTTTCTTCTAATAATGATTGGATGATATGGACACTTTCGACTGTTTTTCGAGCTACAATAACAATTTCAATCTCTACAGAAAGGCATTGACTATCCTTTCCCAGCTCTCTGTGGGCGTCAATTGCTTCTTTAACAAGTTCGATACCTATGGTCCTTGAAAATAATAGAATAAAGGCAGTTTCAAATCCAGTCGCAAATATGCTTGTGCCTCTTTTAAAATTGCTACAAGTGCCTATTCAGGCAAGGGAAATAATACATTTGATTTTCCAAAATGTCGAAAGATTTTAGAACTCATTTACATGAAGTACTTCTTGAAGTCTCGGGAGGAGCATATTATATCAGTTTTACTACCAAAGAAAAAGGAGCAAAGGTATTCTTAAGAATTAATAAATTAATAGTGCTTTCAACGATGAGTCATTTCAGTTCTCACGAATGGGTTCCGAAGGGAGATGATGTGATGGTAAGTGCTGAGTACATGAAGTTTTATTTATTGGATATAACGTTGCATCACGGTGTGAGCACTATCAATATAATGTATATACATAGTATAT